ATCATTGGAGATGAAAATGTAATCAATCCTGAGATTACATCCCACCCTGTCGAGCATAACCAAAAACAAATTGTGACATGGCTGTGGGCAAAAGGGAGCACTTCTCCACTGTTGGTTGGAGTGTAGACTGCTTCAACCACTGGAAATCAGCATGGAGATTCAAAAATAAATAAACTAGGACTAGAGGTTCCATTGAACCCTGCTAATTCTATCTTATTTTTCCAAGAGAATTAAAAACATCATGTCATACTGATACATGCATGCCCATGTTGCACAATGTCTAATAGCTAAATCTCGGAAATAAATGTTCCTCCACTGATGAATAGATACAAAATGTTTTTCTTTACATACTAGAGTTCTCTGCTATAAAGAAGGATAAACTTGAGACATTTATTGCTAAATGCATGAACCTTCAGACTTTTTTAAAAAGAGATTAAGACAAAAGAGGACATAACAAAGGAGATCAGATCAGAACAATGCAAGTAACACAATATTTTACCACAAGACAACCCATAATTAACAGTAACTACCATGGTGTCTCTTTCTTTGGAATAGTTGAGCATAGCTTCATATAGAATAGTATTAAGCATAACAAAACAGTATAAAACCATTCAAGAGAATGAAAGCATTTACAGGGCTTTCAGAACCAGAGGATGAACAATGACTACTATCTTATCTCATTTTCCATAGAAAATTTGTTTATACTATCACACATAATAATATCCAGTAAGATATAACAGGATAGAATCAAAGGCAACAGAAAAACAAAAGCTTAGTAGGACTTCAGAGTAAGATGATACTAAATCAGCTCTGGCTCTTCTAATGTCTTCTTTTCTTTAAAATAGCTGTTTATACTATCACAGATAATAAAATCAAACAAACTAGGATAAAACCATTCCAACTAACGAATGCAGACAGTATAAGGCTTCAGAGCAATGTAATGGGGAATCATGATTACTATAAAATCTTATGTACTCTTACCCTTTCTTACACTAGGGAGACTATATGGTATTTATACATGTGAGTTTGATTTATTTCGCTTACGAGTATGGTCTCAAGTTGTGTCCATTTATTTATAAATATCTCAGTGTGATCATTGTTTATAGCTGAGTAGTACTCCATTGTATAAAAATACCACAGGTTTTTTATCCATTCCTCAGTTGATGGACACTGAGGTTGTTTCCAAGATCTGGCTATTACAAGTTGTGCTGCTATAAACATGGGTGCACATATATCGCTGTGGTATGATGTTTTCAGTTCTTCTGGGAATATACCTAGAAGTGGAATAGCTGAACAAATGGGACTTTCAATCCCAGCTTTTTAAAAAATCTCCAGACTGACCTCCACAATGGCTACAACCAGTCTACACTCCCACCAACAGTGCAGTAGAGTTCCCTTTTCCTCTCCAGCATTTGTTGTTGGTAGTTTTCTTGATCCTGGCCATTCTTTCAGGAGTGAGATGGACTCTCAGTGTGGTTTTAATTTGCATTTCTCTAATGAGTAATGATAATGAACATTTTTTCATGTATTTATTTGCCATTTGTATTTCTTCATCTGAGAACTATGTATTCATCTCAGATGCCCATTTTTGGATTGGGTCTTTGAATTGTGGGGGTCTGATTTTTTTTTAAATTCTTTATGTGTTTTAGACAGAAGTTCTTTGTCTGAGGGACTGTCCACTAAGATTTTTTCCCAGTTTTTGGGTTTTCTTTTCACTATGATGAGATTTCTTTTGACATGCAGAAACTTTTTAATAAGACGTGATCCCAGTTATTGATTCTGCTAAGTATTTCCCATGCAGTTTGATTCCTGTTCATAAATTCTCTACCTATTCCTATGTCTTCAAGGTTTTTACCCAGTTTATCTTCCAACAGATTTAGTGTTTCTGTTTTAATATTCAGATCTTTGATGCATTTAGATTTTAGTTTAGTCTATGGTGATAGGCATGAGTCTAGTTTTAGCTTTCAGTATGCGGAGAGCCAGTTTTTCCAGCATCATTTATTAAAGAGACTGTTGTTCTTCCAGTGAACATGTTTGGCCCCTTTATCAAAGATAAGGTGGTTGAGTGTGTTTGTGTAATCTATTCCATTGATCTTTGGCTCTGTTTTTATTCCAGTACCATGTTGATTTTATTACAGTTGCTTTATAGTACAACTTCAAGTCAGGGATTGTGATGCTTCCTGCCTTGCCTTCACTGCTTAGAATTGCTTTTGCTATTCTAGAGAGACCGTAATCTTAAGTGAAATAAATCAGACACACATCTATAAATAACTGCATTGTTGCAGTGTAAGAAACTGACAGTGTAAATAAGATCCACATTATACAAGAGGTATGTTGAAGTTGGGAGAAATTGCTCCAAAGGAAAGGGGAATGATGGATGTGGGAGGGGCAAAGGGAGGTAGAGGAGAGACAAGAAGGATAAAATGGAAACGAAGCTTTGAAAATGCGTGGGGAGGTGGTGGGAGAAGAGGAATGGGAGAAAAAGAGACAGATACGTTATGTACAAGTGCAAAGCCCCTACAGTGGATGTGATTGTTCTGTTTACATAAATTGTACAAATAAACTGAATTAACTATAAAAAAATAGATAAAATCCTGAGAAGTGTAAGGGAGTGGTATTTAGGACAGAATCTGTCCTCAGAGGCCTGAGGATTTTTAGGTTATTCTAGCTCATAGGAAGAGTCTTACCAAGCCAGAAGCTCTTTAAAATCACTCAGGGGGAAAAAAAGTCTTAATCCAGTGGGAATTGAGAACTGAACAGTACTTGAAAGAGATGTTGGACTGATAACCTGCTTAGGTCAAAGACAGTTCACAGGAAACTCACTACACAGATGGCCTGGTCCTTCGGCTGCCCTGTGATTTACTGGCTGCTCTCCTAGGCTTTAGAGTCCACAGTGAAGTGGTATATAGTACTAGAGAAGAGGTTTGATATTTGATGGTTGATTGATTTAAATCTAAAACAGTTCCTTTGTTTTTTATTTAATCATATTTTATGTGAGGTACTTTTCTTTGCTTGGTGTGGGTAGATCTTTAAGGTTTCCTTTGGGTAGTTCTGGCCCTGAGAGAAATCCATTGCTACCTCAGAGAAATAGCATGGCTTTGCCTTATAGATAGGATGAGTTATGTGAAAATATTTCCATCATTTCTCATATAAAGGATAGATTTTTTCATATATCTCATTTTACACAAGTGACTGAACATTAAATTTATTGTTTTTTAAAATTCTTTTAAAAGTTTAATTGAAAACAAGTAATATTTGTGAATGTGTGTTCAAAGGAAGTGGTCTATCTACTTTTCCAGATATTCTAAATCCTGTATCTTTTATCAAGTTGCAATCATTATAATTTAATCAGACAGAAATCAGATTACACTGTTTTTTCCATAAAAGTATCTTTGTAGACATAACTTTTCAATGACATTCATTTGGTTTTTAAGACCAAATCTTAATGTGTACTCCAGTCTGGCTTCAGGCTCATGACTTGCCTCAGCATCCTGAGTTACAAGAGTAAAGGTGTGTACCAACTTGCTGGGCTTTACTTTTAATGAGTTTTTGTTTGTTTGTTTGTTTGTTTGTTTTTTGTATTGTGAGCTTTGTTTTAAAAATAGACACAGATTTTGTCCCACAGCTTCTTTATGTCTTAACTGAAATCATGTGTTGTGTTTCTTTTAAAGCTATTCTAAGCATATTTTATATTTTTGGCCTCATTAGTACACTTATGATGAAGCTTTAAATGTGTACTATCTAGTTGGTTTTACTTTTAGACTATTGTCTTCTTTTAACTAAAGTGATGTATATTCATTATAAAATATCCTGTAATACTTGGCAACAATGACAACAGGTTAAACATAAACTCAAAGAGGCATTTCTCCATAGAAGATATACCAGTGTCTAAATAAGCACAAGAAAACATTCTCTCAAGCATTAATTGTCTAAATAAAGTCAATCAAGGAGTAACAATAAATTTAGTAACTTTTAAATGCAACATATACAAGAACAAAACATTATAATTGTGCCATATTTTAAATATATCATCATTGTCTTTTAGGGTTAGCTGGCCTAGGTCTTTGTGTCTCATCCCAGGATCCTATCCTAGTTTATTAGGGATGAAAAGTTGCTAGTTGGCTCAACTCACACTCTTTTTGGTATTGAGCTATGGTGATGGTTATGACCATAGAGCATCCCAGTTGTCACACAAGGAGAAACAACTAATTACAACAGATGTGACATCTTAGCTAAAGTAACACAATCAGCAGTAAGCACAGCATAGAAGCTGACAGCCTGTGGTACGTTTAACTAAAGGAACAAGATCTATATTTATATAACAAAATTCAGTGTATACCAGGAACTTGCATCTAGTTAGTTTCATCTTAATAGAGTAATTTTATCAGGGGAAAATTTTATGAGGGGAAAATTTCAGAGGATGAGCAAAACAGATAAAGGTAGAGAAATGTAGAAACAAGGCTGAAAGGCAAAGGATGATCACTGCAACTTGAGACACTGTAGAAAAGAACAGAAGAGAACAAATGAAGGAGAAAGCAAAAGAATATTAAAGTAAACCAGAAATACTAGAGACAAGGTTCACTGACATGAAAACATCAGAAATCAAGAAAGAAAATTGAGAAAATAGAGGAAAAAGCCAAACAACACAAATAATAAACAGTAAAAACCTAAACACCCCCCACACACAAAAAAATCCCAGACCAAAATAAGAAAATGAAACAAAGACACACAGAAATAAAGAAGACAAAAGGAAAAAAAAAAAAATCAAAGCAACAGCAATAACAACAACAAAACTCAAATCAGTTCCTCTGGTGTCCATAGTTCTGTGGTAGTGTCCAAGTCAGAGAACGAAAGTCTGCTGGGTAACCCTGCCAAGTCTGCAGTAGGATTCGTGCCTCTGGACGTGGGGGCCAGGCCGGTCTTCATCCAGCAGTTTTCTAGATGTCCCTTGGTCTCCTGTCCTCGTCTCCTTACTATGTTTGTCTCTGCTTCGCTCTTAGGTGCTGTGGTGCCCTCAGATGGAGAAGGCCCAGCACTGCTCCTGGTCCTGCTGCCCCTCCCAGTCCTTTCAAAGCCTTCTGTGTTCCTCACCCAACGGCACATCTTCTGTCCCACTGCTGGACGTGGGCGGTGTCAGGGGTGTTGCTGGTGGACTCAGTGACCTTGATGCCACTGCGGAGCCTGCCAGTGCTGCTCAGTCTGGGTTTGTCTGGTCTCTCCTCTCTCTCAGCAGCAGTGCTGACTTTCTACTTGTTGTCCCACCACAGCCCGTGGCTACGTAAATCCCTCCTCTGACCCTTTCACACAGCTGGCTGCAGCACAGAAGGAGTAAAGCTGTTCCACTAACTGCCTTGTTTTTATGTATTATCAAGATACAGTTTTAAAGACATGAAATAATGAGTTTATTAAATGGGTGTAGATTAAGTTTAGAAAGTTGAGGGAGACTTTGTTCCAGTTTGAATTGTGTCACTCTCTTTCTTGTGACCTTAAACTCTAAATAGCATTGGTAAAGCAGAAATAGCTGTTGACCATTTTGCATACTTTCTAGTAAGCAAAGTTAATGTAAAGAGTTGTAATATCTAGTAAAATAACAAAAATATAATTATTATTGGTATCTTTTTCCTTGTCCCCTCAGTTTCTAGTACATATTTAATAATTATTAGTAAAGATTGTATGAATTCTAGCCTTGTTTTACCATTTACTAGTTGTGCAAATTACTTAACCTTTCTCAACCTCAATTTCTTCATTTGTAAAATAAATATAGTAATGGAATCTACCTTGGTTATGAAAGTTAAGTGAAAAAAAGAAAGTTAACTGAATTAATATAACAAACATTCTATGGAACAGTGCTTAAATATGATAAATGTTTGATAAATGTGTTACTTTTCTTATTGTTGTGATATTTCCTCTTACATATTCAATCCTAGAATGAATATTATAAATCTAGTAAGACAGTATACTTCCATAGCACAATGAATTTATTTTGCAGTATTAGTCATGCAGCCTTTTCTAACTGCAAGTCCCTAGCTGAATTTCTCTCCTAGCTGTCTTGGCTCTCAGAGAGATCATGGTAAAATTTCTAAAATAAAGTATACATTCAGTTGGAATTAGAGAGAAGACCGCATTTAAGACTTCAGTGAGAAGAAAGGAGAATAAACCTTAAAAGGATTTGCAGAATCTCATGGGAAAACGTATCCTGCCGCCTTGCCTGCTAGCCAGAGTCTAGCATTACTATAGTATACTCTCCCTCATCTGGACTTCTTACAACTCTGTCAGGTCACGTAGCTGTTTATTTGCTGACTCAGAGATTTTTGCTCTTTGCCATCTCCAAAGAGCTTCTTATTTGTATGCTATGTTGCTCATTCAATAACTACAACTTACATGATTTTATATCTTTGTCCATTAAATGCTTTCAGTATCCCATCAGATTTTAGAGGGCATTTTTGTTTTTATTGACTTTTACCCTTTTCTTTACCACAAATATACACTAAATTGTGTGTTTGCTTTTTAATTTAAATTTTGCTCATTTCTGCTTTTCAAAACTTATCCCAGGTGTAATATCTTTGCTGAGGCCTCTTCTTCTCGATGTGGTCCCAACAATTCAGCAGACAGCGGCTTTGGCTCTTGGGAGACTGGCCAATTACAGCGATGACTTAGCAGACGCAGTTGTAAAGGGGGACATCCTTCCACAACTTGTTTATTCATTGGCAGAGCAGAATGTAAGATTTTATTTAAAAGACTTACTATGTTGTTTTAGATTTTTAAAAAATTGATAGTTTGCTGGGGAGTTAGCTCAGTGGCATAAGAGCCTGCCTTGCAAGCACATGGTCATGAGTTCAATCCCCAGTATAAAAAAAAAAATCTTTGTTGCTGGGGTTTTAGCTCAGCAGAGTAAGTGCCTGCTTAGCAAACACAAGGTCATGAGTTCAATCCCCGGCACCAAAAAAAAAAAAAATAGTTTTGCACAGTTGTGAACTTATAGGCTTTATAATTATTAAGATGTTAATATAAACTCTTAATAAATTCTTTGAATTATGCATAATATCTTTAGGGTATTTTGTTTGGGAGATGATACACAATTTTTGTTAATGTGAACAGATAACTGATTCAAACATTTTTAGGGAATTGTAGACTAAGCAGTATTTTTGTAAATGGGAATCTTAAAGAGTTATAGGATCAGTCTTAGAGAAGACTGCATGGCTTTTGGCAAACAGTTGCTTTTAGCAATCTTACATGCAAGTGAACCCTGGCCTCAGTAGACAGCCTTGAAGCAAGGGGCAGAAAAGCAACCAAAAGGGAGGAAATGTGCTTAGTGGAAAGGTTGCAAGCATGTCTACACTATTTGACATGGTCTATAAGTATCCCAAAATGTTCCTTTCCTATATGATACTGTTGTACATTTCTATGTAGTGCCATTTTTGATTGAGAATCCTTTTAAATAGGATCATGGACTATTGAGTCTACTCGCCATTTTATCATAACATCCTAGCTACTCAGGAGGTTGAGGCATGGAAATCACAAGCTCAAGGCTAAATCAGGGAACTTAGTGAGACCCTGTCTCAAAAATAACAAGGGCTGTGGGTGTACTTCAGCAGTAGAGTATTTGTCCACCATGCAGAGGACTGATTTTTAAATTCTCAGTCCTGCAAAAAACACATATAAACAACTTGTACACAAGTATTCAAAGCAGCATTATTCACATTAGCCAAAAGGTGAAGGAACCTGCAGATGAGTGGATGAGCAAACTGTTGTATATTGATGTAACAAACTTATTATGCAGCCATAAAAAGGAGCAATGTGTTGGTAAATGCTACAATATAGGTGACTTAGAAAGCATTATGCCAAGTGAAAGAGCTAAACTATAAAGACCTGTGTTACAGGTTACTGTTTAGGTAAAATATGCAGAATGTAGAAGTCCGTAAGGACAGAAGCAGGTTGGTGATTCTTCTGGGAGAAAGAAGCAGAATAGAGGGGCTGATTAAATTTTAAGGAACTTTTTTAGGTGGGGTCTTTTATGAGACAGGATCTTGCTACACAGTCCAGACTGACCCTAAACTCATTTGTAGCACAGGCTGGCCTTGAACTCACAGTGATCCACATGCCTCTGACTCCCAAGTGCTGGGATTATAGGCATGTACCACTACATTTTTGCAATGTATATATTTTACCAGAGTTTTAAAAATAAAATTTAAAAAAGACCTAAGTGTGCAAAATTTTATTATAGATTCAAGAATCACATATTAATGCTTTCACAAGAAGCACCATAAGTTTTATTTTTGTTGTATTTTTTTCTTTAGACATCCTTCCTCCTGAATTCATAGTGCTTCACTTGAAGGACAAGGTTTTTGTTTTTGTGTCTCACACAGTCCTCAGTAGAAGTGTAACAGTTATAAAGACACAAAAAATTTTGGTCAGAGAAGGGAAGAGTCACTGAGAATGCAGTGTCACTGTCAAGTTTCTGTCTTTATGCTGCCAACCTGTAAATCACTTCTGAGCTTAGTCTCCTCTTTATACAGTGCAAAGTACTGTGGTTTTGCTTTTGCTTTAAGGCAGTTCTTTTCATGATGAGAAGACAGAAGAGCATTAGAAATTTGGAAGAAGTAAAGAGAAAGAAAAGTAGAAAGTGAATTATAGAAACTGTAGTTAGCAGTAACTGTTGAAACCTGTGAAGTGTAAATTTGACAGTTCTGCAGAAAAAGGCCCAATTAGCTGAAAGTATTGATAGTAAATGTATTATCATCATTTTTATACAATTTAAGAAAATCTATGGAAAGTTATTGAAAATTTTACTCTAATTCTTAAAAGAAATTAGTGGAAATTGAGTTATAATTTTAAAAAACTATCCAGGCATGTTGGCTCACGCCATAATCCCAGCACTCAGGAGGCTGAGGCAGGAGGATCATTGCAACCCGAGACCAGCATAAGGGTACAAAGTGAGCTCAAGACCAGCCTGAACTGCATAGAGAGACCCTCAAAAAGACATAAATAAAAACTAAAAATAAAAAAGCTAAAGACAACATAATTCATCAAAACAGTATTAAAGTGGCCTATTTCTTATAGTAGTAACATACGTCTTTTAAAATGCATTTTAAAAAAAACCTGTGTTTTTTTCTCTTCTTTAATTCTTCTTATATCACTGTTTTAGCCTAATAGAAGGCTTCCAAAGCAGGTAATCTAGAGTTAATTAATGTGTCACTTTTTCGTAGTCACTGTAAAAACAGAAACTTGAAATGTAAAGTAGATTAATTGGATTTTATTGAAAGGGTTATGAGACTATTACTGTCATTTTAACCATAAAACAGTAGTGTTAACCAAAATATTACGTAAGTTTAATTTTCATAACAATAGGAAGAGAAACTTGAATGTCAGTTTCATTTTCTCATTTCTAATTGGACAAAATTTATCTATAGAAAATATTATAATATAAAGCAGTTTTAAAAATTCAGTGGTAACTTGCTTTTCTCTTCTTAAAAATACATTTCTAGAGGAGACAAATAGTTTACATTCCTTTGTAGTTTATTGATTTGTCAGAAGTTTAAAAATATCCCATGAATACTTTGCCTTTAGGTTTATGTAATGGAATAATTTGGGACATCAAAAAAATTAGTTGAGCTAATGATGCTATACTTGCCACTGAGTGCGAGTAAAGGAAATGAACTTATCAGTTGACAGAGAGTTCAGGTGCACATGCTAATAATGCAAGAGCACCCATGGATCAGACAGTACCTACCAGTATAAGACAGATGCATAAAGTTCCATTAGTTTATGAATTTGTGGAATTTCATTACTTTTATTCTATAGAATTTTTCAGTGCATGCTTCAGAATAAAATTTTTGAAATGTAATTTAAAACTGATCTCGTTTTCAGTTTAGTTACTGAATGGAAGTAATTGAGGGCTATAAAATAACGAAAATGACTTACATAATGTTTTTCAACTTTTGTTTTTAAAAAAAGTTGGGCTTCATTTAATGTTCCTTTTTGTTCTGCTTTATATTTTGTGGATGTGAGCGCACAGTTCACCTTAGGTTTGAACTCTCTTGCCCTGGCAGCGTTTCTACAAGAAAGCCGCTGCATTTGTTTTGAGAGCAGTTGGGAAGCATTCTCCCCAGAGAGCGCAGGCCATAGTTGACTGTGGAGCACTGGATGCACTGGTGATATGCTTGGAAGACTTTGACCCTGGAGTCAAGGAGGCTGCAGCCTGGGCACTTGGATGTGTTTCAAGACATAATGCAGGTAAGAGGGCATGTTGGGAAATTTAAGTAAATCCAGTTTCTAAACTGTACGTGGGGTTTTAAGAATGTTTTTGTAAATTAAGAGAGATCAGTTTTAAATGACAACTAAGTTGTTTGCATCACATACCCACAAAATACCTGTATGTTCAGTCTTAATCTGAGCAGAAGAAAAATTTAAAGGGAAAGAAAAGAATGTGGCAGGCCATGGCACGTGGGATCAGGTCTGAGTCTCAAGATCTTGGCATTCAGTTATAAAGATGATTATGCTGTTTAGTCCTCAAAGGGGTCATTAGGTCTGTGTTTTCATGAGAGCATTCTGAGACAATGAGGATTCGCACCACAGGGGTGAGTGAAGACTTGGATGTAACTTTGTAGAAACTGTGTTGCACTCTTACTGGACCCGGAGGAGAAGAGCCACTTTCTCCTAAGAACTAGGGTCTTAGTGAAGCGATTAAGATAGGACTGGGGCTTTTTGGGAAAAAGCTGTGCTGACACATGCACATAATAAATACACAAGAAACAGAGTCACCCTACCATTTTATACAAGTTGCTTATGAACAAATAGCATACTAAGAAAATGGAGTTCTGTTTAACAATCACAAGTAAAAAAAGAAATCAACTTTAGGGGCTGGGGATTTAGCTCAGCCGCATAAGCGCCTGCCTTACAAGCAGGCAGTCATGAATTCAATCCCCGGTACCGATAAAAAAGAAAAAGACCAAAAAAAAAAAAAAAATCAACTTTAATAACAGTCAACGAACTGCAGTTTTAAACATCAACAAAATATCTTTGTTCCTCTGCTGTCATGGAGTAGGGAATAAAGTAGCAACACAGTCAAGGAGTTAAGAGCACTGTGGCACTAGGCAGCAGATAAACGTGAGTATAAACACTATCACTCAGCTGCTGTATAACCTTGAAGATAGCTTTTAAACTTTGTGAACCTTAACTTACTCATTTTCAAAAGAGGGTAAGTAATGGTAATTACTTAAGAGATGTTTTGTAAGGATAATGAAGATAACATTTATAAAGCCTTTAGACCAATTCCTGGCATATGGTAAGTATTCAGCTGATGAAAGATTTTAGTGTGAATATTGAATATTGAAGGGCATGTTAAAACGTTTATGATATTTAGCCAGGCATGCATCTGTAAACTAAGCTACTTTCGAGGTTGAAAGACATCAAGGCAGGAGGATGATCACTTGGAGGCCAGCATGGGCAGGACAGTGAGACCTCATCTCTGTAAAAAAAAAATAATAATAATAATAATAATTAATATATTGTAAAAAAGAGAGGAAAAGAAAGTGCGCTAAAGGATACAACTGCACGTATGTTTAAGTGTGTAGGATTGATAACCATATTACTAAGTTTTTGTTGGATCATTGAACAGAACTGTTTGCAGTCTCACAGTTTGAATGTCTACTTTGTATGCTTTACTTTGTAACTTGAACAACTATGGACAAATTCTGATTTAGAGGACAATATATTATTTATCAGCTAGTGATTTCTTACTGTGATTATATATTATTTCTACCCTTTTTCTGTTTTTTTCTTTTTTCTCTTTAAAAAGATTAATTAATAAAATTTATGATATTGGAGGAAGAACTACAAATTGCATATACCCATAGAATGCAGGTTGACAAAAGCTAAATGATGAGAGAGTTCATGGTTACCCTAAAAGCCTGCTTTGAAGATCAGTTTTAATAAAAGAACTCTACTGGCGAGTGGTGATGCGAGTGGCTTTCCTCTCCCCAGACCCTTCTAAATGTCAGTTCTTCCTTGAAGCCAATTGACCATATAAGCAGTGCAGCTCCTGAAACTGAACCAAAATAAACTTCCCGTCTTTTTGAGTGCTGGCAATTGTGTTCAGCAGTGGGAATGGGGCTGTTGCTGTGACCACGAAGTTAGAGAAACTTTTGGAAGTGGTCCATGGAATGAGTTTGGCGCAATTTGGGGATGCTGGTTATTGAAGCTGTAGAATGCTAGATGCCACGATTGATGGGAGACTCTAGCAAAAGCTTAGGAGGTTTCAGTTGGGAATAAGGACTCCACTGACAGTTGGACTTGAGGCTACATGTATTGTGTACTGGCAGAAAGTTTTTCTACATTTTGCCTGTTTCCCAAAGCTCTACAGGAGACTGAGATTGAAACTGATGAACTGATTGATCTTTTGGGAGAAATTTCAAGGCAGGCCAGCACTCAGACTGTGGCAGGGTACTTCTGGATGCTTTCAGCCAGGCTTATAGTGAAAATCAGGAGCAACAACTCATTTTAAAAACTTACTGTTTTGTCAGAAAGGGAACAACTGAAAAGTTGGAGAAAAGGAGAGCAAGATTGCTTAAAAAGATTAGCATTGGAAAGAAGCCAGGATAATAAAAAGATGTCTTGATGGCATCTCCGGAATCAGCAAGATCCCACCCTTCACAGGCTTCATATTGCAGAAATGTAAAGTTAATCTTCTTTGAAAAACTTTGCCTCAGCATCCTATGTCACTGCAGTTGCAGACTTGTGGAACTGCGTCTAGTCAGGTCGAACATTTCTGAGGAAGTTTTTTTTTTTTCCTGATGAAGTCTTCTAGCTTTGAGACAGTCTTTAAATGCAACCATGCACTGGCCTGTTTGACTTTTTTTTATTTTAAAAGAAATAAAACAGAACAATAAAATGAAGCAAAAACAGTGATTGCAAATTGCTAACCTCTAAATAGTTGCCCAGGCTACCAGTTTGGGGTTTGCAAAGTCAATCAAGTAAGGCAAGTGTTAGGCTGTTTGTTTACTTTGGTTGTTACCATTTCAGCCCTGTTCCTCCCAGTCAGCTGGTTGCTTACAGGTAGGGGGCAGGGAATGGTGGGGTGGCTGGATGTTCTTTTCTCCCAGCCCACACTCTGGTTGGCACGTGGTGGGCTGTGCAGCTTCTTGGCTGGCATAGCAGCTACTGGTGTACAGCAGGCTGTGTAGCTTCCTTCCTTGTGTTCCCAGCGAACATGGCCACCACTGGTCTCCAGGGAGCTGTGTACCTTCCTTCTTGGTTCCCCTTGGCCTGCAGGGCCACCTTTCTTACTTGACTTTTTAAAGAATCCAGAGTTACTGTCTTCAAAGCCACTGTGTATATGTAAGTACTTGAGCACTCAAATAATGAAACCATGTGTTGAGGTTAAATCGGTGACTTTAAAGATTGACGGAAGAAAACAAGGTGAAGATAATGAGTACAGGGAAAAATGACATTTGTGAGTGGGAGAGAAATGTCACATGAGACTTTTTCATAATACACAAGTTGCCTTTCCATGCTTTTCTTACTTCTGCCTGTGATTAGAAATGCTAGTTACTCAGCTCAAAGTACAGCTAAGGTAGGTTACTATTACTTGTGGTCATTGCCTCTCAGAAGTGTTGATGGTAGTCAGATTCTGCAAGGACCTGCACTGATGCCTGTCAGGGGTCGCTGACATCCTTAGGGAGTGTCCTCCCCCACTCTACCAGGAAAATGTAGCAGAAGAGATGACATGCTACTTCTCAGGTTAGATTGTAACTCCTGGGATCAGTCTTGGGTCCTCTTTGGATTACTCTCTGTCTGTGGGAAGCCTCATCAAGTGCATCCTGTTCAGAAGCCTACATGGTAAAGAACTGGAGATTTTTCCTCACACTGCCATGAGTGTGCTTGGAAGGGCACTAGATCCAGCTGATACCTTGTAGCTGAGAAGCCCTGAGCCGGAAGCAGCCAGCTAGTTACTAGATTCTTGACCTACAGAAACTGAAACAGTAAATGTTTGTTATATTGCTAAATAGAACCACCAAAGTGTAAAGAAATGGTTAATTTGTGACTTTCTTATATTTTGTAATGAAATAGATTAAAATAGCTAGGGATTTAGCTCAGTTGCCCCTTGGCAAGCACAAGGTCATGAGTTAGATCCCAGTACCAAGAAAGCAAAACAAAACTCTTTAGAAACCAGAGTCACAAGCAGTATTATTAAATTACAACACCATGAAGTTAAATCAATTAGAGTCCTAGAAGCTCTGTATTTCTAATTTTCAATGTGTGTGCTTATACATATTTTTGTCTCCTTGTTTTATTTGGAAAGTGTCTTCATTTTGACTTCTTTTTCTGAGGTCTCAGAATCACTCAGTTTTGTTCCAGTTCTTCCCTCTTGTGTCCCCATTATGAGCACAAAATTAACAGAATGTCATAACACAGGTTTAGATCTGCACCCACCTCCATTGCAGGCTGTTTAGGATTTTGTCAATTTCTTGGAATTCTCCTCTAAATTTTCTTTTACAACCACTACAGTGTTTCTTCTCTTATGACTTCAAGAATTAAAAAGGGGCATAAGAAACATCATGTATATTAAAAATATTCATATATATTTAGCTAACTTCAGATATGTAACTAAGATAAATGTATTATTTTATATGAACATTACATTTATATAAAAGTATGTTGCACAGTTGCAAATTTCATTTTTGAAAGTTTTTAATGCACAGTGAAAACACAGTTTTTTATTTTGTATAAAGTATTTTTTAAATATTAGAAATCTTATGAAATTTAAAAATTGAGATTATTGACACAAGATTCATGTTAATTTTTACTCATAAATAGCATAAAATATTGCTTAATTAGTGTAGTTAATAAATTTTTGGTGCTTTAGGTTTCTCTATTATAAATCATTCATAAAATGCTTGCCTATTGAAAAGTGCAGAATTGTCAGAATTTAAACAGCTGACATCTGCTTGTATCCATTAAAAAAAAAAAAAAAAAGAATAACAAGCCATTTCAGTCTAATCTGCCTCCTTTGTGTTCATGTAAGTGGAGGTCCATCTGTTGACCTGTGTTCTTTTCAATTCAGGATTGGCCTACATGTTTTATGAAACCAGAAAGATGGATTGGAAATGTAGGCATTGAGAAGTACACCCTCCCCATTACCCTTTGCCATGTCTGTCAGTATGTGGGTCAGTCACCCCTACTCACGTAATTAATTTTCTTGGACCCACAGAACTGTCACAAGCTGTGGTGGATGCGGGAGCTGTTCCTCTCTTAGTGCTCTGTATCCAGGAGCCAGAGATTGCTCTGAAAAGGATTGCGGCCTCAGCGCTCAGTGATATTTCAAAGCATTCTCCAGAGTTAGCACAGACAGTGGTGGACGCAGGAGCTATCGCTCACTTAGCCCAGATGATCCTCAATCCTGATGCTAAATTGAAGGTATTTTGCAATATGGTTGAGTGGCAAACAGAACAGATTTCCTGCAACCTAGCAAAATGGAAATGTGTACAGATTCAAATTATCCAGCTAAAAAATAATTAGTCATTGTTGAAAACAGACATGAGGGCCCAGGGATATAACTCAGCAGCACGGTACCTGCCTTGCAAATGCTAGGTCCTGAGTTCAATTTCCAGTTCAAAAAAAAAAAAAAAAAGAAAAAAAAACAGTCATGAACATATTATGTCACTGATATTTTAATATATGAAAATAATACTATTTAAAAAAATAATAATACTATGTGTCCGACAATGAAGCTCTGATTGAAAAACTGTGTGCAATGTTGAAAATTAAAAGTAGCTTCAATGATAGCATCAAAAACTAAAATAAAGCATCAAATCTCAGAGTTTGAAGGGAACTAAAGATTTTTGAGCTTCCAGCTATAATATTTAGGTTTCTTATGAAAATGGTCATACTTCAGTTAATAGTAATCAATTATACTTTCGTATTCTAGTTTTATGTTTGTGTTTTGTTTTGTTTTTTTGGTACCAGGGATTGAACTCATGACTGCACAGTTGGAAGGCAGGCACTTAGGCCACTGAGCTAAATCCCCAGCCCTGTATTCTAGTTTTAAATTGCCAATTTAAAATTGATAGTGTTAGCTAAGCAATGGAAAAAGTCTTTGAAATAATGTCAACATTGTGCTAAAAATATGTTCTGCTTAATCATTTTAATACTAACTCACCACATGTATCATAAATTAAGTATCATAAAGAAATAGTATTCATGCAATAGTCATATCATTTGATCATCTGCAGTACAATTTCTAAATAGTATAAAACTAATTTGGGAATTAGGAAATTTTAAGAAAATGAGTATGAGACTAAGTTGTGAAGGTCTCAAACCCTGGAAATATTCTGTTTGATATTTAATTTTTCCTTTGTACAAAGGACTTTGAATTATATACTTATATAAGCTGTTTAAATTACATCTGAATTCTGTGGTAAACTAGTGGAGTCTACATAGTAATGTTTTCTTTGTTTTTGCTTAACAGCAACAAGTCCTTTCAGCTCTCAGTCAGATTGCAAAACATTCTGTGGATCTGGCAGAAATGGTTGTTGAAGCAGAGATTTTTCCCGTTGTACTTACCTGTCTGAAGGACAAAGATGAATATGTGAAGAAAAACGCTTGCACTTTAATTAGAGAGATTGCAAAACATACACCTGAGGTGAAAAAGATTTTTAAAAAGCTTCAAGATACAATAATACATAGTTTGTAAATAGAACATCAGTTTGTTTTGGGGACGCAGGAATTTCGCTACCTGGTCTGGTTATGTCAGGGCTTTCTCATCCTCAGTATTAACAGCATTATGGATTCAGTGTGGTGTGGTGAGCTATTCTGTACGTTGTAGAATTGTCCTTTAGCAGCGTCCCTGCTCACAGGATGCCATAGCAGCCCTCCCTGAAGAGGTGTCAATCAAAACTGTCTCCATACATTGCAGATGCTGCCTAGTGGATAACCTCCCCACTCAGTTGAGAACCACTGGGTTGTAGTAATAGAGTTTGACTTAAAGTCTCAGTTTCTAATCCTTTCTTGCTTTCTATTTCTAGATTGTGGGGCCCATGGACCTCCACAATCCTTACCATTTTATGTTACCTGGGATTAGTGAGAATATTTCACCTCCAGATTGAGACAGACACAGACCTATCTGACCTATGATGGCCATTCTAGTAGCTGGTCTTACACAGTGATTTCCTGCTCTGAGTTCTTAGGCTAAAAAGGGGATAATTAGGTTAGCATATTTCCAGTCTGACCATTGTCTTTTGACATTCAGTGATTAATCTGTTTCATATTCATGCATTGTGCCCGAGGCTTTCATTGTTTAGCCAGTTATGAACTAGCCTAGGTTTAGTGTCTAGATGAGGAATTTTGACATCTGCTATATTAGGGATAAAAGTTGTGCTATTGATGTATTTAAAAAAAAAAAATGAACCACAGAATAAAACCTCTCACAGTGAGTACACTGTGAATTTGAAATGGCAGGATATTATATTCATACGTTTCTTTTAATATAGTAAGTAGTTTCTAAATGGTAGTTCCATTTTATTAGTTGTTTTTATATTCTAAATAAAGCATAACCATGCTAAACTTAAGATCATGTTATGCTTTCTGGGTTCTTATTAGTTAGCTCTGTTTTTGCCTCTTAGCTTTCACAGCTGATCGTTAACACAGGAGGGGTGGCCGCAGTGACCGACTGCATTGGGACCTGCAAAGGGAACACACGGTTGCCTGGCATCATGATGCTAGGTTATGTGGCTGCTCACTCCGAGAACCTAGCCATGGCAGTGATCATTTCTAAGGTGTGTCCTTGCTTTGTCTCCTACTTACTGCAGTAAGATGTTCTAAGATGGAACCACAGAATTATAAAGTACAACTTTTTGGAACAAAAGATTGATTAATTTTGAATGTACTATCGTTCTTTTTTTTTTTTTTTTTTGTCTTTTTCGTTTTTATCGGTACCGGGAATCGAACTCAGGACTGCCTGCTTGCAAGGTAGGCGCTTATACCACTGAGCTAAATCCCCAGCCCCTCACTATCGTTCTTGTACTTGAAAAAAAGGTAATCCCATTAAAGCCAAATTTACTTTTTTAGCAAAGGAAAATGAAACTTTTTAAAATCCTAAACATTCTTAGTCACAGTGGAATATGGTTTTGCCTCATCTGTGTCTTCTGTTTGGTTAAATGTCCCTCTATCTGATGGGAAAAATCTATTCTTAGGTAAGTCAAGTTGTGAAAGTAGATAATTAAGGTAATTTAGTTCTAGACATTTTGTTGATTTAAGAAATGACAGCCTTTGTGATGTGCGCATTTATTGAGCCACTTAGACAAAAAGAATCAAGGCTAAAATGATTTCATCTAATGTCTAGACTTGGAGGATTGCTTAATCTTGCTCTGGTTTACAATGCTTGCTGTTTTGATCACCGCTGCAGGGTGTACCCCAGCTGTCAATCTGCCTGTCAGAAGAACCAGAGGATCATATTAAGGCTGCAGCTGCCTGGGCCTTAGGACAGATTGGGCGACACACTTCCGAACATGCTCGGGCAGTCGCCGTCACAAATACTTTGCCCGTTCTGCTTTCTCTGTATATGTCCACAGAACGTTCTGAGGATCTGCAAATGAAAGTGAGGATAGTTCTGTGAAGATCTGTTAGACTTTGACTCATTTAAAAAACAAGTCATTTAACATATTTAGTTTTTCTTATGTCCAGAAATATAAATGTATTAGAAAAATTAAAGTCAACATTGTCTCTAAAATTAATTGCTCTGTGTTAAGTAGAGCTGTAGAGGTGCAGATTGTTTGTAAAATGTCTTGTTAGTACATTCAGTGTTCTTTTGTCCTATGAAATAGGAATTGAATAATAAGATTTTTTATTTTAACAATTTGCTGAGATTTTTGCTTCATTTTATTTTTAAAAATAAATGAGTCCAAAAGAATTTAAGGTGCTTTTCCAAGGTATAATGGGAGCAACTGGAGTATGTCTAAAGCTGTATGATTTACCTCATTTACCTTTCCTAACTCCAAGGCTGCCTGATCTTTTAATGACATCTTGTTTTTATTCCTTAAAATATTGCCCAGAAAAAAATTTGAATAGATAGTTCATCAACGAAGATATAAAAATAATCAGTGACACATTAAAGTATGTTCAGCATCACTGGTCACTAGGGAAATATAAAGTAAAAATACAATGGGTTATTCACATCCCCAGGAATTCTGTTATTAAGACAGTAATAGCTGTTGACTGCCATTTGGAGAACCTTGAACCCTCTTACATTGCTAGAGGGAATGTAAGATGTTACAGTCATGTTGAAATCTATCTTAGCCATTTCTTAAAATAAACACATAAATTTATCATCATTACCCAACCAGCTCACTCAGAGATATGAGAAATGAAATGCTCATGTTATGGCTTATATCTAGATGACTCGCCAAAGTCTCATGCACTCATAGGTGGGGCTTTTGGGAGGAGCTGGATGGATGTATAATAGCAGATCATGGGTGTGAGAGACTGGATTAGTCCCTAGTAGATTTAGCTTAGTTCTGGGTGTGACTGAATGGATTTACTAAAAATGGAAGACCCAGCTGGGTGTAAATAGCCCCAACCCATAGGCTTGTAGCATGGATAGAATAAAAGGAAAAGCAGAAAAAAAAGGCTGCTGTTCCCTATGCCTCTGGGAGAGGTGGACATGGAAGAAAACGGAAATCACACACCTAAAATGTCTCAACTGAAATCTCTCTAGTAACTGAAATAGGAAACAACTTTGTGAGGTTGTAAAAGTAATCAAATCAGAAATAATATCTCAGGTAAAAGAAGAAATCACAAACATAATGAAAGAATTTCTGACCATATTTCCATGTCTACATCTCCCAGACTTGTTCTGTGTTGGCTCGAGTTCTGAGATTATGTTTTGCTCCTTTGTCTTGACATTATCCTGGGTTCCTCCCAACAAGCTGGTTCCCAGCCACTTCCCATATTAGCTACCCCTCTGCATTGTAGAATGGGCCAAGCACCTGAGTTTCTCTGAACCCCCCCCCCCAGGTTCCCAGGATGCAGTACTGGCCCGCTGTAGTTGGGCAGATCTACGCAGCCAGTCAGGCATGGAGCAAGCCCTCCCAGACCTGTCCAGCTATACCAAGGCTTCCCCAGTGGCCGCGGTTGTGGTAGTGGGGCTGCTTTTTCTCTCAGCCTATGTGGCTACACAGGGACCACCCCCCACCCTATGGCATCAGATACACGGGCATGTCCACATGGCTCTCCTGGTCTGTGCTGGCTACCCACAAGAAGCAAGTGCCTCTGATGGCCTGCAGATACATGGCGTTATCCGGCTGTTTCTCTCTGTCCACACTGATTACATGAGGGAAGCAAGCATCCAGATGGCAGTGGGTGCACAGGGACTGGTCTTGCTGTATCTCCCTGTCCACACTGGCTGCCTGCAGGAGGCAAAGTCTTCCAATGGCAGGGGTGTGCAGGAGGGCAGTCTGGCTGTTTCTCCCTGTAGATTACATTGTTGAGATGGTTGCATAATTCTATTAATTTACTAAAGATTATTGGATTGCATGCTTAAAAATGATTGAATTTATGTATAAAATTATATCTCCATAAAGCAGTAGGAATATTCTAAGTTCAAAAATAGTTGTATATAAGTCTGTAAGAAAAATCTTAATAGTCAAGTATATACTAGTTACAGTCTGTGACTTTTTGCTTTATAATTTTAATTTCCTCATAGCTATTTTAAGAACTCAGGTAATAAACCATTATACTGTAAGGTTTAACGTGATGCTAACTGGCAAAATACTCAATGGTAAAACCAATTAAAAAAAGAGGTTTTCAGAAAACTTTTTACTTGTGAAACAACTGCAGATTAGACCAATGAATTTGATTTCATTTTCAAATTCCAGGAATGTGTGACATGAATTCTTACCTGGTTTCCACTGATTACTCACTTTTGTTTACCCTTTTGATTTCTATTTCAATAGTGCAAAAAAGCCATAAAAAGCATCCTACAGAAATGTACCTACCTACCAGCGCTGGAGCCATTTCTGTATGACGCGCCTCCAAATATTCTGAAGCATGTGCTTGGGCAGTTCAGCAAGGTAAGAAACGCCCTCTCCCCTTACTTACTGCTGGAGGAAGGAGAGGAAAATGAAGATGATTCATCACCTTGTTTTTTCTTTTTTCTGCTTGCTTGTCTTTTATTTTTCCACTGTAACATGAAGTTCTGGGCTTTACTATTGAACTGTCACCAATCTGTATTGACAAAGGCAACACAGGTAAATAAAGTCCACGTAGAAGTAAAACATTTCCTTCTCCCTTACATTTTTCTCAGCGCCTCTGTACTGTCTTTTTTTTTCTTTCACTGTTTTCAGGAAAGTAAATTGCATGTCAACACATAGTACAAATACTTTATTGTAATCAGTAGCTTTTAATAATTTTTCCGTTGTCTTAGTTTCACCCACCTGGAGACACAGCCATAAGAATAAAAGGTCTCTGAGCCCCTGAAATATCTAAAGGTAGAAAGGTTTGATGCCAGAATTGAGCACAGCCAGCAGAGCTGACCCCTGACAGCAAAGGGCGAAAGACCAACTTCACTGAACAGTCGCTGCTGATCAGGATAGTGACCCGAAGATGTAAAGAACTGCTTAACCCATGTTCATATTAGACTGGAAATAGTGAAGCTGAATGTGGTGCACATACCTGTAATCCCACACTCTGAGTTCAGGCAGGAGGAACGCAAGTTCACTTGCGTTGGACAGCCTGGACAACTTAGTGAGACTCTTTCAAAATTAAAAAAAAAAAAATGTTCTAGAACACAGTGCACAGGTCCTGGGTTCAATCCCCAGTACTAGGGGGAAAAAAAGGGAAAGAAAGGACTAAAGGAGAAAGGGAAAGAGAAAGAAAAAGAAAAAGGGGTCTGTGCGAGTCTTAAACCATAGTGGTAATGCTCCAGGGTTAAGATTCAGAATGCCAAAAAAAAAAAGATTCAGAGTACCTGGAGTCCCCACTTAATAGCTCTGATTTCTTAGAAGTTTTGACCTCTCAAAACCTTAGTTTGGCTATCTGTAATTATTTTCTAATTTTTAAAGAGAATGAAACCAAAATAAAACAGAATAAAGCAAATCAAAACACACCACTGTAAGTGACAGTACTTCAAAACAATATAAAATCAACAATGGTTATCATCATGCCTCTTGTTTTCAAAATAGCTGCATATGCCTTCAGGCATAGTAAAAATCAAAACAGAACAGAATAAAACCAATAAAAACAAAACAATGAATGCAATAAACGACTTCAAAACAAGAGTAAATGCAAAATTGCTACCATAATATATCTTGTTATCTTTGAAATAGCTGCCCATGCCATTGGATATAAAAAAAATCAAATAAAACAAAACTGAATAAAACTCAACCAAAAAAACCCAATGAAATTGATACAGGACTTGAAAACAAGATGATAGGAAATTAACAGTGGCTACCCCCTTCAGAAGGAGATCCCCCATAGATGCTACATTGTGTATTATTATCCTCTGGATAGATGATCAGACCACTGGCTTTAGACCTTTAAAGTCAATGAAACACAACATTACAAGCATTAAATTGTATTTTACCTCAATAGCTATCATTGCAGCCTGTGTTTCTCCAAATTAGCTGTTCGCATATGGGGAGGCGGAGGGATGTTGGCTCTTCTTATTTCCAGCCCATGTGCCAGATGGGCTGACATCTGGCTGTCACCCCAGCAGCCCACGCATGGTTCCAGTTTGCAGGGAGGGCTTGCTTCTTGGTGTCTTCTTGTTTTCTTCTGACTACCTGTAAAGTGGGTACTTATTTCATAAGATTATTGTAAAGATTAAAGAATACATTGTTCAGAATTTAGAACATTTCTAGGCATACATTAAACATTCACAAATTAAGATGTTTTAAAGAAATAAAACATACAGATGTTTAAGGTTACTTTTGTTATTGTTGTTTAGTTTTGTTTTTGGTACCAGGAATCAAACTCACAACCTCACGCTTGTCAGGCAGGTGCTGTGCCACATGAACTATATCTTTGGCTTCAATGCTAAATTTGTAATGGTAGAAAAGTGCAAATTTATTTGAATAGTTAGTTATTAGAGTACCTGAATGTAGTACTGCAGTTTCTATTTTATATTTGACAAATAGTAAGCATATACTATAGGCTTTACAGTTAAGTAGGTCTAGTTTTATGTACTCATCTGAAAGATAGACTCTACTAATATACTTCAGTTCTCTAAGCTGTCTCCCTGATCCTCAGCAGCGTGGCTAAGCCTCAAACCCACTGCCGAAAGTACCTGCTTTCCATTACCATAGCCACTGCTGGATACATTTCTGTGAGTCCTACACAGATTCTTTCTGCTTTCTTTTAAGACAATGATGAAACTTCGTTGCTTAGAAAAAATAGTGTGTGGAAGAATTAACGAATGCCCGTTTAACAAATCAACTAACTAACCAAATATTGGCGGGGGGAAGGCTAACTTACTGGAAGGGGAAAATCAGTTTCTTTTGTGTACTCTTGGTTGCTAACTAAGAACTGGCTGCCTAATCTGGCCATCTAAGAAGGAAAAGGGATAAAGGACTGAGGGGTCATCTCTAGACAGTCATCAGCTTTTGAAAAGGGGTAACTGACATTATGTTTGAAAGTTTCATTTTGTAAGTTAGTCTACTGAATAATACTAGTTTTACTGAACTTGCTGTGAAAATGACCATTAATCTCTTTTAAGCATTCACAGTAAGTAAAAATCAGTAGGATTTTTGTAAGTTAGCTATTGTCAAATAAAGTTTGTAGTGTATGTCATATACTCATCAATGTGCCTTTGGAAAGATTTGCAGAATTTTCTACTTTCTTAAAGGGTTCTTAAAGGAAGTAACACGTGAGTTAAGTTAAATTAGGAGTGGGTATTAACCAGGCAAAAGGCAGGAGTTTGTGGAGTGTCTGAAGGCATCCCCAGGACAGGAGACTGCACTGGCATAGGTGAGAAGTGCCCCCCTGATGTGTGCTGTGAGGTCATTGAAAGGGTGTAGCATGGAGCTGGCTGGTAGGAGCCTGGAGAGGTGTTTGTGAGTGGGGTGGAAAGGACTCTAAAACTGTGCTAAGGAACTTGACCTCCAGTGCAGTAAACCACATTTCACTCTCTGAGCAGATCTCCTATGCTCAGTGCATCACCTTCATCCCATCTCCATGATGTAAACAGTTAATGTACTTCTACAAAGAATGCATTTCACCTCCGGTCATCAGCAGATTTGGGCTCATTATATTATGGGTTCATTGGGCATAAATTTTTATCTGTATTTCCTCATATAAATTATCATTTTGAAGTAGCCATAATCTGACTTGGAAAAGAAAACCTGGCCTTTTTATTGCTGCACTTTTCCAGGTGCTGCCACATGATAGCGAAGCACGCCGACTTTTTGTAACAAGTGGTGGACTTAGAAAAGTTCAAGAGATACAAGCAGAACCTGGTTCTCTCCTGCAAGACTATATCAACAGTATTAACAACTGTTACCCAGAGGAAGTGGTAAGGTAAGAAGAGATAGGAGTCTGAGAAGTTCAGGAGTATAATGTTTTTTGGATTTATGTTATATATAAATTATAACTTTTATCTGCTTATAGTTACTATTTTACATCAGAGTTTTCTTTTTTAAAAATCAAGTAATTCTGGTTTTTTGAGACAGAGTCTTGCTATGTGGCTCAGGCTGTTCTTAAACTTACTATGTAGCCCAGGCTGGTCTCGAAGTTGAGATGATTGCCTGGGTAAGGCTCAGGAAATCTGCGATTACAGGTGTGCACCACTATGCCCGATCAGAAGTTTTTAGTACATACGGCTTTATAAGCACAGGATATGGATTTTAAAAGCACACAGCGAAATATGTGAACGGAAACCATTTTATTCTTAAAAATAGATTTGTGCTTAACCAAAGGGACCATGTAGGAGGAATTCACCACAATAAATACTCCTTTATTATTTTTAGTAGTACATGCTTTTAGTACATCATGACTGCATTCATTGTGGGAAATCCGTACATGTACATAACACATCTTAACTTGTTTTTTTATCCGCTTTCCACTGCCCCCTCCCATTTGGTCACTTCTTTTTTCAAAAGATTTTATATTGTCTTTTTTTGGGACCCATTGTTTCATTTTTCTTTGTCTCTTTAAACATTATTATGTGAATAAAACAATTTTATACTAACATTGGAGAAACTATGTAGCAGTGCTTAGCCACGTAGTTCTTTTCACTATTTGTTTTGATGACAAAATGAATATTAAGCCATTTTTTATTTTTTTGCAATAATAAATGATTAAGATTATTTTGGTTAGATTTAAATTGACTGTAGCAAGATAAGAGTATCATTACTGAGGGAGAATCCCATGCTGTTTCATGATGAGAAGCTACTTTTGAATCCCTCAGCACCAGATAGACCCTGGTTGGAATGGGGCTTGCTGGCAGTCAGTACTGGTTTCTCATCGCTGCTCTGCAGTACGTAGGTTTGTGCACACTCACGGGCCACTAAGCGGTGCTGACTGTGTACGTGCTTGTGAGCATAAGCAGGCTTAGTGTGGAGCATGTTTTCTTCCTTTTGGGGACCTAGAGACCGTGAAGGGCTGAGGTTGCTGGGGGTAGAGAAATGAAACTAGCAGTTAGCTTAGAAATGAGCCAAATAAAGCCTCAAGATTTATTGGTGGATGCTAACTGATTTATTGGGGGCCATTATTTTAAAGCAATAGCACCCAATAGAAATATGTGAGGCATGTGTGTAATTTCACATTTTCAGGTAGCCATGCTTTAAAAAGTAAAACCAGAAATGATAAATAAAATCTAATGATTTTTAAAATTTAGTATATCCAAATAGTATAATTTCAGCTTATCAGTATAAAAAAATTGGGGGTGGGGTTTGGGGAATCAAATTCAGGACCTTGCACTTGCTGAGGAAGCACTGTGTTGCTAAGCTGTATCCCTGGCCCTGATACAAAATTTATTAATGCATTATTTTACATTTTTATGATATCACTTCCAGCAGCTGAGTTTAGATGCTGAATTTCACTGAGTATATCTGACCTACATTTAGAGTATGTGAAATTTACAGTTGGAAAAGTAAACTCAGAAGTTATTTCAAACATTCTCAGTAACTGACATTTTTAATTGGATATAAAACTTCAGTTTCTCAAATACACTTGCCACATTTTTCTAGTCTCAACCTTAGGTGCTTAAACAGCAAATTTTTAAAGTTTTTTTTAAAGAAAAATATATAAGGAGTACTGTCTGGTGTCTGATGCATTTATAGGACCTAAGACAGGTGAAGTAGGCTTTAAAATTTAACTCAGACTGATGAGAGAGCCACAGTTGTGAATTCCTTAGTTCAAGAATATTTTGAAGAAACCTCCTGTTAAAGACAGTCTTTTCAAGGATGCATGCCTTTTAAGGAGAAATATTCTTCAGCTTTTTAAATGTACACTTGTATGTTCTAGTTAACAATGACTACATATAAGTACACTATTGTTTCACCCAGTTTAATAAATTGTGGAAGAAGTTAGTGTAATACAGGAATTTTCAAGTCAAGCATGAACATATAGGTACAAATAGCTAACAAAGGACAAAGCAGGTCCCTAACCTAGGTTTTATCTGGAGAAAACACTTTCAAGGGGCTTATTTTGAGAATACTGGAAATTTTAAGATTGTACTACCTTAGGTTTTAAAATCCATTTCTTATATTCTGGAATACCTGCCAGGTATTATTTGACAGGTTTTTATATGCATGCAAGTTATTTCCATGGTGTATTAAATAACTTACAATGTATTATTAATCAACATGCTTAATACTTTCATACTAAATGTTTTATAAAATTATCAGTTTGTAAGTGTAAATTTCTAGTACTATGTATATCTGAGACTCTTTTTGACCTACTATGCTGAATCTTGAATGTATCTAATAGCAGATTTTTCTTTTCCAGGTACTATTCCCCTGGATATTCAGACACACTTCTTCAAAGAGTGGACAACTATCAGCCAGTTATTGATTAAACATAGTCATATTTTTATACTCAGATTCACAGCCACAATTCATGAATACTAATTGTTAAAATTCTTTCTAAATATTTGACTAAATACATTCTAAACTTAATGCCAAATTCCTTTAGATAATATTTTCATAGTTTATGTAACTATGCTAAAAATTAGTATCTTGAATACATAAGGAACTGTTCATAAGCATTTACATGCATAAGATTTATTCACAAGGTAAATTTTAAATAGACAATAAAGAATTAAGATGTTATTCTTCTACTAAAAATCACAGAGAGAGATTGAAAGAAAGAGAGGTCTCCAACTAAACACAGGTGGGAAATGTCCAAAGTCCTTATTTTGATCAACTCCAAAGGTAAACCATAGCTGACGGCCAGACAGAATGGCCTTGTGTATAACACGGAGGAAGCAGGAGGACAGGAATGCAGGACCTTCTGCAGAGGTGATGGCGCTGGGTCCATAAATGCACTGACTTGCACGTGTACTCTGCTGTCAGATTTCCTGAGAATGAGAACGGTACTTCTCTGTATTACTTCTGTCCTGTCTGAAATGCTCCTGAGCCTGTATGGGGCTGCAGAAGGAGGAAGTTATCATGAGGCACTCCGTGCTTGCACATGTGCTCTCCAACCTCTCGGAAAGGTGTCTGAGTCATTGTGAGTGACAGCAAAGCAGGCAGCAAGATGAGTCTCCTGTTCGTGTTTCCTGGCCTGTTCATCCTCCAGGTTTCAAAAGTCACATCTTCAGGGTTTGAAGGAATCATTTTAAAAGAATACCATGAAGCTCAGACCTTATACTTACTGTGTTTTCAGCTAGGAAGGTATAAAGGGGTAAGCTAAAGGAGACTAAAGTAAAACGTTAAATAAAAATAACATTAGAATTGTCCTGTTTACTTTTTTTGTCCAGTGTTATTTCTGACTCTTGGGAATCTGTGACTGAATCTAGGTGGCGTGGTTACTTGGTGTGTGTGTGTCTTTTGATCTAAACTCTTGCTGTGTGAGCTCTGCCGTCAGGGAGGCCCAGGCCTGTAGTGCCTGCAGTCTGGGTTTGCTTTTATGTTTCCTTGTGGAACTTTTTTTATTTTTTCTCAAAAGGGACTTAGCTGTTTTGTGCATTTGTCCAGGTTTATCTCTATTACCATTTTTTTCCCAACAGGATTTTAATGTCTCTTAAAATTTCATCATACTCAAGTGGTCCCATTTCTTTTTTCCTCACATTGATAATGATTTCATTTTGTTTGTTTATTTACTTTAGGGCTGGCGATTAAAACTTAGGCTTTGTGTATGCTAAGCCATTCTACCCCTGGGCTTCATCCCCAAATATGATTTCATGTTTTAGTCTTACTTAGGCCTTTTATTGTTTTGTTTTTTGCAGCTGTTTCTTTGACTCTTTGAATATAAAAAAGCATTAATTTTTCTCCTGCATTTTATATCTTTGTTTCTTCACTGTCCTGTTTGTTTTGAGTCATCTGAGAAAATAAAAGTAGTTTTCACCTTTATTAAGACTTTCTCTTACATGCTTAGCTGTTAATGATGGAAGCTAGATTAAAACTTCTTCAGATATCACTGGAATGGTGAATTTCTCATACTGTATTTTCTTTTTGCATTATTCTTTGCACCTGAGATTTTTAACTTCATACATTCTTTCATATTTATCAAGTAGTATGTTAAACCAAGATAATCATATTTAATAGTGTTTGGGTGTTTATAATTTCAGTGTATGCAGTTTGGAAATTTTATGCTCTGAAATATTTCTTATACTTAAGCAAAACAAGTGTGTACTTTTAAAAAAGTTTATTACTAATTTTTTTAATGGTATTGGGCATTGAACTTTTGGCCTCTACACTGAGCTACATCTCCCAGCCCTCTTTTTATTCTTACTTTGAGGCATGATTTTGATGTTACCAGCTTGCCCAGGTTGGACTTCAACATGTTATCCTCCTGCCTTAGTCTCCCAGAATACTAGGATTAGAGACACATACCACTGCATTTAGTGAAAAGCATAATTTTTTGATAATTAGAATAGTTACTTGAAAAACATTTTTTAAAAAGTCTTTTTCATTTGTGTTAGAGCAAGGATAGCATCTGTCATTGGTACTCTCTGACGCTTTCATCTTTGGTTTGAACTGTGTCAGTTTCAGTGCTCTGTGCTAACAAACCTCTTCCCATTCCACTCGTCCTCTGCAGGCTATCTACACGTTAGCTATGCTGGGGCCTCTTGGGAATGGTTCTAAGACTTCATTCAAGTCAGGGAAATCAGTGACCTGGCCAGATTGCCTGCTGGGGGAATAGGGACGTGAACAGAGCCTGAAAAGTTGTGGGAATCTGGGTTCTGATCAGAAGTCTGTTAAGTAGGAAGGGTGTGAATATATGCTCAACTCACTCAAAACATGCTGTCAAAATAGCCTGCATTGGCCCATATATAACAGCTGTACACAGACCTGGCGTGATTTATGATAGTCTGACAGGAAGTACAAGTTACATATTGTGGCTGGCAATTGTACGGTACCCTCAGGTCTCACACTAAGATGAATGGAATTTAAACCAGGTGATTGATAAGGAAAAACCACTTCCTGCCCTCCTGGAACTTTCTAACACAAACACATTTGCTCAGACCCAGGGAGTGGACTAGACACAAAACACTGATCACAAAACAACATAAAAATGTACGCCTTGTATTAAATCAAAACTGTACTACTGTCTCCTGGAGATCTCTATAAGTATGCAAACTCAGCAGTCTGGTATGTGAACAGTCAGCACCAGGAAGTGCTGATGCCACACAATCTACACAGCACAGTGCATGTAGGTGCTCAGGGAATTATATTTACTGCTCTCTTTTTCACCTTTTAAAAATGTGGTTTGGAAGAGATGCCAGAAAGCTGCTATTATATAAAGAAATTTAGAAAACTCACAGAAGAGTCATTTTTTTACAAAGCCTGGGGACATCTGTGCTCCTGGCTTCCCTCATTTCTCACTTCCTCCACTCCAAGTTATGCTCTACAATAACGCCTGTAGTTTCAGTTACCAGACACTAATTAAGCCATTACTCTTGCATTTATAAGTGTAAGACCATGGGTAGATATAAAGACCACATAGGTGACACACTTACGAATTTAAAAACAAACTTTGAAAAGTCATCTTGATTTTAAACACTGAACCAGAAATACTGTACTAATAATGACTCATGATGCCAAGATGCTGATCTCTGGAAACCAGCTCCTCTGGGTTCTGTTTGCTTTTAAAATTTGCACTGCGGTTCGTGGCAGGTGACTTCCTGCTTAGCCAGAACGTGTGGTACTCTAGCTCACGGAGGGAAGAACTGGCTCCTGCAGTGGTGAAGTCTAGCCCTGGGTTTTCACAATCGGGGAACACGCCCAGGAACCAGGGTTTACATTCTGCAAAGACCCCGTGGCTCCCAGAAGCTTGCAAGAAGCAATGCCCAGCTACGAAGTGGCAACACTGGCAGACAGGAGAGGGCACAGACAGGCGGAAGGGTACAGTGCTGGGTGGGGGGAGCCCATGGGCCCCAAGGACACTCTGGTGCCAAGATGTTGAGGAGCTTGTAGGGTCCTGGGGGAGTAGGCAACTACTGAGCCCAAGCTGTCCTCCAGCTCACAGCGATCCTCCTGCCTCAGCCTCAGCCTGAGTGCTGGGAGTATACCCCAGCAAAACTCGGCTTCCCAAGTTTGGGAATCTAACATGCTTGCCAGGAAAGAGAGTGGGGAGCAGAGGCCAAGTCCAGCAGAGCCTCTGGGGGCACAGGGAAGATGTCTGAGCGCACAGCCTGGAATGGCAAGCTTGTGTGCTTGTTTTTTATAACACTGACATAAACTCAGAGTTAAAGCGTCCTGTTGTCTCTCATACTCCTTGAGATACAGGGGAATGAAACTCCCGATCTACTGTGTCCATACCGAGTTCTTGTTCTCTAAAATCAAAGAATGAATTTTAGGAACAACAAAGGTTGAGAAAAATATATTTACTGAGAGAAAGAAAGCTGTCTGAAAGGTACAGAAGGGGTCCTGAGGGCGTTGCCAGGGACTGTCTTTTCCAGGGACTTTTATAGAGTAAAATCATGGGGTGAGACTGGTTCAAGATGGGGAAAACTGGGAACTCACAAGGTAGATGGGCATAAGATGGGACAGAACTATGGTTAGTTAACCAAAAAGATTAATAGTTTAGGTAAAATTGATAAATTGGGGACAAATGGGGCAGTGAGTCACTTAGAAAGCAGGCATTCTTAGCAATGACTCTTCCCTTGGCAGTTGGAATGGTGACTCCTGACTTCCTCAGGGAGCTAGAGAACTCTTTAGAACATCAGTCCTTAGGATATGGATGTATTTGTTTGATCTTTTGTCTTGCGGCTTGGCCCACGGCTGGAAGTGCCTGTCTCCCCCATGGTTGCAAAGTATGTCTCACTGTCTATAGTATTTCTAACTCAACTGCATGTAACACTTATGTTCCCCATAACCACACTCCTAACAGCTTGGCGCAGTAAGCATTTTCTGCACTCAGTAGGAACCCAGCAGCACAGGAGCAACGAGGTCCCCAATCCTGGTCCCAGAGCCTGGCCCATGGCAGTGCCAGTCAGGCAGGCAGTGTGCATAGTTGCTTTCTCAGCAAGTAAAACTAAATAGGGCGCCTTATTTAAGGGTACCAGAGGTATGCACAAAACCACAAGACACCAGGGACGTCCATAGCTTCCAGCCTGCTCATTTAGTGGTGCGACCTGGAAGGGCGAGTGACATATTGTGACTGTGTGTGAAGACCAAAGCTGCTGGAGCGCTGGGGTGGCCTTCTAGAAAACCAGGAGATGTTGAGCCAGTGATCTACCTGAGGAACAACAGCAACTGTGCAACAGAAAGCTCACCTGCGAGTAGGACATTAAATCACAAGCAAACTTTCAAACACAGCTTGATTATATCCTACTCTCCCTTTTCATATCCATTTCTTCTTGGTGTATGTGTTATATAAACAACATATGGACATCAAGTGTGATTAGTCAAGAAATTGGACAAAAATAAAATTTTTTGTTTTTATAGTGGAAAAAAGAGTAATTGTGGAGCTAATCCATAAGGACAGCAGCGCAGTGGTCCATGCCGTTTCATTCTCCAAGAATGGAAGACAGGAGCTCTGCAAAGTGCTTTCCATTGCATTCTCTGCTCTGATTCTTTGGGGTGAATGTACGCAGTGTCTATCATGAAATGCAAGTCCCTCCTGCAGAGACTGGAAGACCACTGCTCACCTCCAAGACAGGGGAGTTTGGGTAACAGCTGAGAACTGCACAGAGGGCCGAGGGACTTCCAGGACACCTACAAGACAGTGTCGGGGAAGTGCATGAAAACTCCTGTGATGGATGAAACTGGAAGACCAAAATCTTCCTGCTACTGAACCTCCTTCCAAAACTGAACTTGCAGGACCGTGAATGATACATGGTAGCTCAGTTATGAGAGAAGTGAAACGGAGAACTTTATTTGAGGCTGAATAGTAGTATAATTGCCAGCTTCTCTGAAGGATTACTCCTGTTTCAGTTTCATTTTGGAGAAATTTTTGGCTAAGAAAAGACCACGATCTAGGAGGAAAGTTTATAATAATATCTTGTCAGTTTCTAGCTTTTGCCTGGCCATAACCAATCTCACAATACCATACCACCAAACAATGTAGAAAACAGAAAATTATTACATGTTAAAGAATAAAGATGTCTTTCTCTAGGCTTTTTTACAAGGAGTAAATGATATTAGTTTATGTGTTCAAAATATGTATGTGCAATAGCGTTCTAGTGCAAACCCCAAAGCAACTTTTATCCTCTTTATTTAAGTTTCATTCTCTCAGACTCTTCCACCAGGTTTCTGTTTCCTCCTTTCAGTCTAGAATGTTCATTGTCTCCAAATAATTC